TACACATAATTTCCAATAGGTTCCCAATATATCAACTTCGGTCAACAATTCACCTAATCCGATACCTCTTTAAGCCAGTAAGCCACCAGTGTATCAAGTAAGCATTTAAGCTATCCAATATCCTTCAAATATACATGCCAAGTTATTTGTTATAGCCAATTTTAAGTTAAGTTTTTGACCTTTTTGTAAAGCTGAGCTGAGATGAGTCTCGGCATTGCAACGTCAGGCTTTAAATATCGAACTTCTCGCGACTCAGAAAACCTTTTATATTGGTGTTAGCAGCCATCTTGGTCAGAAATTGGTTATGATTTTGAAGAAGATGCTGTGAGCCAAGTTCTCATGGCTCCCGTTATGCATATGTATTCCAGCCTTTGTATTTTGGTGAGAGCCTTAACAATCTCCCATTGTGTAGTTTTTCTAGCACAGATAATTGTTCGATAAGTTACATGGGTCGTACCATAGACCCAATATCCTTACCTTAATATAGGGAAAGGCTCCATTGTTAGTGCCCTCTGTGAGTGCCAGGAGGAGGCACATCCTTCTAACCGAGGATAATCCATAATATCAGTATACAGTTTGCCAAACCATTTACTATCGTGAATGAAGCCGATATTTTCACCTCCGCTATCTCTCCCAAGCTATTGAAAAATCGTGATCCCAAAGGTCATTGGCTACGGCTGTGGTGTGTTCTTCAATCACTACATAACTAGACATAAATTAGCCCATGGAGACAAGGTAATTCTTATTGTTCCAACACATTAATGGCCATCATATCAATATCCTTTTGTGTTTCTACATTGATTGTAAGTAAATTTCTTTGTTTGTAATTTCATAGCTTTATTATTATATCCTTTCATATCCTTGCATGTACTTCAATCATAATATGCATCCTGCATGCATACAGCATTCTCCAAGCTTATTGCTTCAAATATAAATTATTTATATCTTTTCATCAACGAGGGATTAAATGAAGTAAAAATAAATTGAACAGAAGGACATCAGAGAAGGTTTGTGTAAAATAATTCATTGGAATTTCTTCCAATGCGGGCGCAATGGCCACCTGTCAGTTCAACAGGTTTGTAATGAAAGATGCATATGTATCCATTGATGTGATAACAAATATAAGGTGGGTTTGTAAGAACATATTTGCTGTGGTCACAAACCATAACCGCCTGAGTCGAGTTACGAAAAAAATCGAATTACATACATATGTACATATATAGTTAGATGTGGCTAAATATTTAAAAAGTTTTATAACGAAAATATTTTGATATGCATCTTCGAAAAGCTACCATTACGATGTCTAAAACGTGTTTAGTCGAATTGAAGTTTTCCGACTTAAGCGGTTATGACTTGCGGCCGCATATTTACTTATATCGTACTCATATATGTATGTATAAATGCACTTATCAAACTCCAACGCTACCTTCGCTAAAGTCCTTCAAGCTGTTTAAGGTTAACTTCCTAGAAATATATGTACGTGTGTATGTAGCTTTCATATGAAAAAATTATGTCGCCAGCTCTTCAGACACATTTCATGAATGCATGTACTTTATTGTATTTTATTCCTACACGAACAATGTATAAACGTATGTATTTACTTGCACTACATGTCAACCAATATCATCTTGATTGCATTTAATAAATTCTGTTTGAGTTGCTCGAGTTCTGCAGTTGTCTAAAGAGCGAAATACACCACACAAGCGGTTTGACAAACCAAGCGAAATTTCCCTTTGCTTCAAGCCATTTGTGCTGTGTATGGGGGTGTTTGAAGGTTTGACGGCGGTTTGTCAAACCTTCAAACACCCCCATACACAGCACAAATGGCTTGAAGCAAAGGGAAATTTCGCTTGGTTTGTCAAACCGCTTGTGTGGTGTATTTCGCTCTTTATTCTCTTAGCCATTCATCCTCTTACATATTTAATAATTTATATTATATTCAACATTTCATTTGCCTCTATCTCTTCTTCCGTTATACGAGTGTCGCTGTATTTGCTGTCTTGTTCTATCTGCTCATTCAGTTGTTTAACTATTCTCGTTGTGTTCAATGTCATTAAGGTTGTTCGATGTCATGCTGGCCATGTCCTGTCGCAATTCTATTTTGTGCTGTGCTGCCGTCCAATGCCTGTCCTGTCATGTCTTGTTTCATTCTCCATTTTCATGCTGCAGCTGTGTCTGAATACTTTGTCCATTTGTTGATTCCCCAAAGTTTTGTCGTTTCAATAGATTGTAAAATGTTGAAGGTTTATGTATATCTCCACGTTAGGGTGTCGCAAATTTGTTTACCAAAATTTCAACTACATGCTCTATTAATAATGTACTTATGTAAAAAGTTTCACTGCTATAAAATGACGATAACTCGTGCCGACTTTGGTTAAGGAGTTGTGCTGAAGAAAAATATGCACTTTTGAGTTCTTAAGGATATTGAAGAATTTATTTTAAATCAATAACTCCTGTCAACTTCATTCGATGATTTGAGTTGGATGGAAAAAAGAAAATTGTCAGCCCGAGCATCCTATAAGGCTAAGGGAGCTGCTGAGATCGCTCGGTATCTAAATTACTCTGTTCGTGACTGGGATGCAGGGCTTTAGGCTGGCTGATCCTCGGTATGAGTCAGATGACACTTTCGATTTCTAGATGTAAAATTTTTCGAGCATGAAAAAAAAAATTGCCGCACGATTTGACAATCTCAGCATAAATTCTATGTCTAGGAATACCCTAGTGCAAGCGGCTGACTTGCATAATATTAATGATAGCGGTATAAACCGTTTATTTGCTATTAATGAATTCATATTTATATTCAGATATTCACCAGCATAACAAATACAAATAAATAATTTATTAAATCGTTCGGTTCGTGCTCATCAACAGCATCATTAGGATGCTGCCAACTGAGAGGTCATTGACATACCAAACGAATAGGGAAATATATTTTTTTTGTGAAGAAAATTCATGTATTTATATATGTACCTATATGCAGTGCTTAGAATTTCCGTTCGAAACCCCATAGCTGATTACTATGTAGTAGGGAAATCAAACCAACTAAATTTGTGGTTTTTTCTTGGTGTAATTGCGAAATTAATTAAAAATTATAAATATATAAACCTTAGAGAACTGTTTGGAGGAAAATAATTCTTGAATTATTCCTGCATGTCTTTATTATGGCAGGCCACCTTTTGGATTCTCTGGCTGGCTGAAGAGGTGCTGCACTTCAACTTAACGCCCAAATGTATGCATGTATTAGAATATTTACAGCTGCATACACAAATGTATATACAGTCGTATGTGTGATATACATACCTACAAACATACGTAAGAATATTTTCCAGACTGCTTCTGCATGCAATGGGAACAAGTGTTCGACTTCAGTGAAGTGCTTTTTTGCTTTGAACTATAGTCTTAACTTTTGAAAAGTCTGTTACGCGCAGCTGTCATATTGTTGCATACTTTTTGGCTGTTACTTTTGCATTTGGCACTGTGTTTGGAAATTAAATACAAGAAGCAAACGGGTTTGTCTGAGGAATGATAAAGAGGTAAGGTTTGAGTTAATAGAAAAACATGTTCGGGTGGATAGAAGGATGTCTCGAAAGTGTCATCTAGCTATATAAACTGATATATACACTGGTACACAGACGAGTCAAAGAAGGAGGGCAGAGCAGGAGGGGGTGTTTTTGGGCCTGGCAGCAAACTTTCTATTGCAATGTGTCTTTTAGAACTAGTTACTAGCAAATGTCTACTTTTGCCAGACTGAACCGTGAGAAGTGTTTAAAAGGCATGTTTCTATTTATCTTTTCACATAACCAGGCCGCCATAAGGGCCCTTTCCAATACGACTATCTCCTCCATTTTCGTCAAGGAGTGCTTTGATCCTAACCAATTCTTGGCAGCGAGGAACACGGTATTACTATGCTGGGCATCAGGACACTGCAGGTTCGTGGGTAACGAGTCCGCCAAGGAATCGGAAAGGTAAGACTCATTGACTTGTGGGGCCGGAACGGTTTTGTGGACTCAGTTGATCCACCTCGAGGCTTATAATAGAATCGTCGGTAAACTCAGACTGCAGTAAGTACTGGGGATAGGTAGGGCGCCTCAGATAGGCTAGACTTTTTGGTTATCCTTTCGTTAGGAAAGGTACACATCTTTTGAACAGAGCCTATATGAAGTTGCTTATTGGCTAGTCGACGGGCCGTGGTTGGTTGATTGGTTTAAGTAGATTGTCACATTGCCATTTGACAGCTTTAATGAATTTCAATGCACTCCGAAATATTCTGCAGAAATGGTTTGCCGACTGTCTTTAGCCTCATCCTTGGGAGTTGTCTTTAGAGCCTAGGTCATCGCAACTGTGACAGAACCTTTAAAGGCCAGTTCTATCCTTTCGGCATACACTCCAGCGGGCCAGTGTGCTGTGTACACTGCAGTAAATTTGTAGGCATCTTTTTTGCTCATTACTGAGAGAGCTTTGGTTTTAAGTGGATCGTACGACACCCAGAACTGCCGGGTAATTTTTGTCTTAATCTCCCTGAGCAAGGCATCTATGTCGACCACGTGGTGTACATTGAGTGCGGAGCCGCTCTTTGCTAGTCCCTGAATCCTTTTTAAGGTAATTTCTTATTGATCATAAATATTGGCCACCTCTCCTAAATTTATCCACTAGTTGAGATCTAACAGAGGTCTGGAAGAGAGTTAAGGTTAGGAATTCGTTTACTTAGAAACTTTAAGCTTTTATAAGGGAGGCTAATAACATCTTGGACCGTTTATTTATTTATTTAATCTATTAAACTTATTATTAAATTACAAATTTAAGGTGAAGGTTAGCGCTACCTGCTGGGGATATCGCCTAGTTGCCTATTTTAAGTCACTTAAACCTAAAAAGTTGAATTTGAATAATTTAAGGAAATATGCATGAAACAAATTTAATAATAAAAATGTTAGATATTTTATACTTTTAGGAGTTCACTTAATTTCTTAATTTTATATTCTAAAAAAAAATTCAAAACATACCCCGCCACGACCGCCGGACCCCTCAATGCTCTCATCATCAATGTAAATTTCGTCTTTGGACGTTGGTGAGAGACTCGCTGATGATGCTGACGTTAACGGTGATATCGGTGATGGTTTAACAGTCTTCTGTAAATAGATAAAAAAAATAGATTATCACAATGAGACCATTGTAGCAAAATTGTGGCAAAAAAAGCTACAAGTCGTAGCACAATTACGTAGAAGAAAAATCAGAAATTACTTTGTGGCGTCTCTCAACTTTCAGAAATCAAAGCGACAGGTATTTCTACATTAATCAAAAGTTTAAGTACTTAGTTCAAACGTGAGCTGCGCGCAAAGTAGCTAAAGTTTGTAGAATATTAGAAAAAGTGACTTCTGCTGCCAAACTTTTAAAGCAGCGACGCCACCTGAATTGTTTTCAGCAAGAAAGTGCAATTTTGCCTCATTTCGTTTATTTTTATTTTTTTTGTGTGTGTGGAAAATGCGCCAGTTTGTAATACCGCCAGTCAGCTCATTAGTGTCAAGGTGTATAGAAAGCGGAAAGTTTGTACATAAATTTATAGAAAAGTAATTTCAAGCGCGAAAAGGCGTTAAGGCGACAAGTGTGGAAACTTGTGTTGCAATGACGCAGGGTCGACCTAGTTTGTAAATATGACAAGTGTTTTGGCTGAAAAGCTGCAGAGCTGTCATTGCCGTGCAAATGACTATAAATAAATAGGCGTTGATGGGAATTTCAATATTTTGCATTGAATGGATATTTTTATAAAACAAAAAAGAAATGTAGAAAGGGCACTGATTGAAGTTATTATATTAAATTCAAAGCTCGTGTTTTGGCACGTATAAATGGGTCGGAGAGTAGGCTAAATAGTGAGTTAATGAATGCAGAAAGTAAGGAAAAGGAGGAAGCAACAGAAGGTATTTTTTTTTAAGTTTATCGCAATTGGTTTATTTGCTTCACACATACTTACACATCATTACCTAAAAGGGAAAAGGTGCAAAGTCCATTTTTTTTTAAATTGTTCAGGAGGGAATAATCGATATAGTTGCGCATTATCTGTCATTCTGCATCAAAAACTAAATTTTGAAAAAAGTGGATTTGGCACATTTTCACCTTTAGGTAGCGATATACATACATATGTACATAATGTAATGTATGTATGAGCACTAAATAAATGTTATACATTTGAAAAATGTATAGTCATTCCCAATGGCACAGTATATGCAACAAAAACTGCAAAAAAAATCATTTCTTTACATTACAACAACATACATAAATTTTTAAAGCATACTTTTGATTATTTATTATACTGTAATAGCAAATAAACGCTCGTTGTAAACATATAAAATGCGTTTTTTATGGCTCATAAATAATTCAAAAATGGAAATGGAAAACATATTAAATGCTAATGGCGTTCATTTCAATGAAATATTTTTTTTTTCAAATGCGCTATAAAAAAATTAACAATTTCAAATAAATACACTGGCTTATAGCAACAACGCACACTCCTAAGTAGAATTACTTGCTTATTACGAAAATCGAGTTAATTTTTTTTTTGTATGGATAAGTTTTCGAAATATTTGCAATTTACCGTTATTCAGTTAAAAAAAATTGTTTCCACTTAATCATGCATATCTTTCGAAGCAATTGAACAATCTTAATGCCTGTTTATAAATCACTTTTCGATCGACCTGATAGTTTCTGAGAAATTAATTAAATATCCAGATTTTTATTTATTTTTTATAAAAAATTAAAACAATTTAAACTTTAACAGTGAAAAAATTAAAAAAAAACAGATTTTTTGTACACTTTTTTTTTTAATTTTGTTAAAGCTTAAAGCTTAGAATCCAGCTTTCAAGAAAAATCACAAAAAATATTTTTCATTATTTCCGTCGCTTAAAAAAGCATTTTGCTTGTGCTATACATTTTCTGGAAGAAATAAATACCATTTTTTCCTTGAGAGCTGCAAACTAATTTAAGAAATTTCGATGGAAGAAAATTTCTTTTCCATTTCTTGTGGGTCATTTTATATGAAGTTTTCATTTTTCTTGAGAGCTATAAATAGCCCTTAATGAAGAAAATCGTTGCAGTAGTATAAAAGGAATGAGTGGTCAAACGAAAATGCGCAAAGATTTTTTGTATGAAATATGAGTAGGAAAGAATGTTACTCATACGCCATGCCATCCCAGAGTATCCTCGAACTAGCCGTGTTTTTTAGAGGGCAATGCATACGCAATCAAGTGTTCTTTGTACTCTCGAGTGATGACCCTTTAAGAAATCGATATAAGCGTTTAATACGACTTCTAGCTAATGAATGCAATTTGCCAACCGGCTTTTGGGGTAATTTATGTTTGGCAATAGGCATCGTGGTCAAATATTTTTCAATCGAGGCGTTCTACGAACTGCCGATTTTCTTTGTTCATAAAAGTTTGATTATTCGCCAAGTCCCAATCATACGCAAAAGTGTAAGTTTGAAATGAAACCGAGCCCGCTTTATAGCTTTTGATATAAAAAATGTAGCGTTGATTGGCCTTTGAAGCCCTAAAATGAATTAAAGTGGTGGAATTTTATCGTAATTTCCTTTGTCTGTTGATTGTCGGTGTAACGGCCAAGCATTTTTAGAGTTAGAGGTTCTTCTCCTAACTACATATGCTTCTACGATCCGTAACGAAAACTTTTGAGCAACCTTCATTTGCCGATAAATATGTACATCCATAAACGTTTAGTTAATATTTCATTGAAATACGCTTAGTCATGGGTGTAAAATAATAAAAAAAACAGCAAAGAAAACGCTGCCTATTGTACTTATGCAATACTCAATCAAAATCAAAACATGGTATAAACATATGCCTATTCCCGGGCGCTTGGATTATTAATTGGCTATCAATGAAACTTGTATAAACATATTTTCATTTTATCCACGAAAGCTCAAAAATAAATCAACACCATGATTGTGCATCATAAATCAATTCTCTAGCCAGCCAACTAATGCCAGCGCTCTTACACACACAACACACACACAGCCAAACACGCCTGATTGAGCTTGACAGGCGGCATACATTTAGGCGCAGCGAAGCAAGCGGAATATCTATGCTGGCAATGACGAGCGGCGGTGGGCCTCATAAGTAGTCAATGGAGTGCAGCAGGAAATAAAGGACAAGCATAAATATGAGTATGTATTTATATACATACATAATAATTTACAGCTACTTTATCTGGGTGGTCGAGGCAAATGGGTGCGGCACAAGGCGTGCCTGACAAGGCTGTTGCTGTTGGTCGGTTATTCGCATCATAACTAACTAGTGAATGTTGATTTTATGGGCCAATGTCTGCCGAGTCTCTTTATGCTTGTTTTGCTTGTCACTTTAGCGCATTTACGCTTCAATGATTTTTTTCTTGCTTAGATGCAAAGCATTCGTTGCCAACTGCGCCAACTTTGCTTATCAATGAACGTATTTTTTTCTTCCTTTTTTACAATGCCGTCTGACCGAGATTGACAGGAAATTAACAGAGATATCGTGAACTTAGCCGAAGAGGAAGGAGAGGAAATACAAAAATAAGAAAACGCAACCAACAAAAAAAAAAGGCAAACGAGCAAATGGATGACACGTAGTTCTTTGCTCTTCATGCTGTTCGCTTCATTTGGCATTCATGCGAACAGCGAAGTGAATTTAAACGCAACCGGCAAGTAATGAGAGTCAATGGCATGGAAAGTATGAAAAATATGCAGCGGTTTTTTGCATTCCAATGCAGCTCTTCTTCGTTTTTTTTTGTTTTCTGTTAACTACGTAAGCTATGTTATGTTAATTTTCGCGGCTTCGACGCCTGTAAGCATGCTGCATAATTTAAGAATTTAATTTCAGCACTGATTGTGGCTTCGAAATGTGACGATAAACACTAAATGTTCGCGGTTGAGTAATACGTTTTTATTTCGGTTTACTGATTCGCGGTTTAAACGTTAATGGTCGTTGGTATGATGCCGTCCGCCTGTGCTGCTGCAGCTGCAGCTTGTTGGGTGCCAGCAAGCATTACACACACACACACACGCATGCAGTCGTGCGTGCTTGTGCATACTGCGCACTGAAATGCAAATTATTTTCCTTTTTTTTTATATTTATTGACGAGGGTTTTAAAGGCATTGTCCTGCATGTGCTGCATACTTACAGGCGTGTGCTGTTGAGGCGGCTGCGCTTCTGCAACCGCAGAAAGCAATTTTCATGGTAAACACCGCGTCGTCGACAGACGCATATGACAATTACTTGTGTATTTTAATTATGCAATTCAATTCGGGAATTGTTAATGCGGTCAGCAAACAGCAGCGCACATGTGGACTATGCTTGATGGGAATTCTACATAAATACAAGTGGCGAAGTGCAGTGCGGCTCTAGTGAATGTGGGAGGGTGAGTGGGTTGCGTTAATACTCTGTTTTTATGCACAGTGATATAATTTCATGTGTCAGTTATTCCCAGGCGTATTCTTTTTAGAGCTAAAGTACCCGCCTTCCCTTTTTCAGCAGTTCGGAATTGTTACAAAATTCGATAAAGTAGATAGTCTTTTTCCCACATATTATATTTAATTATATATATATTGGCGTGGGCCGAAAATCCGCTTTTTAAGAATTTTGATTGGTAATAGCAAAAATATAATTCACTATGCTTTAAAAAAAATCTGTGCGAAATTTGGAATGTTTTGGTCGATATCCTAGGCTCGCCCAAGTCCATCAAAGTTCAACATGCTCAAAAAATAAAAATTTATAAATAAATTAATTGATAATTTTTTTTCTAAAGTTGCAGTAATCTTCGAAAGTATTAGTCCAACATAATTTGGTATATGGACCTTTTT